TAGAGTGCTGTGGCATCACAGCTCACAGCAACCTCCAGCTCTTGGGCTAAGGCAATTGATTCTCTTGCCTCAGACTCCACAGTAGCTGGGACTACAGCCACCTGCCACAATGCCCAGCTTTTTTGTTGTTGTTGTTGCAGTTTTGCTGGGGCTGGATTTGAACCTGCCACCCTTGGTATATGGTGCCGGCGCCCTACTCACTGGGCCACAGGCACCGCCCAGTGGTATGCTTTTACTGTATGAATTCTATGAAACAAAATCCAGAGATGATCATTTTAATCTCCTTGTGACAAGTGTCACAGTCTTTTATTTTCCACACAGTGCATTAGAACTATCCCAGAATATAAAGCGTTGTTATACTAATGGGAAATGCTGCTGGCATTGTTTTTCCAGTTGCATAGTCAGTACTTCTCTTCTGCCAACAGGAACTTCCCTCCCCACCACCCACCAGATCAGTCATTTAGGGAGGGGATTTTCTGAAGGAACCTTCAGTTTCAACCAGGAACCCAACTTCACTGTATGCCTTGGTTTATGGTGTTGCTTTATACTGAATCCTCTCTTTCAGTGTTCAGAGTCGTTTTGTCAATTCTTTGTTAATCATCAATGCCAGTTTACAAGCCCAAAGAAAGGTGGAGAAGAGCTATGTTTGCCTTCAATTGAATGAGAAAAATGGAGGAAAAAACATGGTTCAAGGGTACAGATAATGAATCATAAGGATTTTGCATGATGGAAGAGAGAAAGATTTCTGAAGAGGACAGAAATGTGCCCGGTTGTAGCTGGTACAGGTGGTAACTTGTTAGGAGATCGGGCCATCAGCCATGGAGCAGGGATCCGTCTATCCACGTGAAGGGATGAGGCAATTTAAGGAAGGAAGGAAGGACGACTGAGTTGCAGAGTGGGTAGCTTCACTTCTTGGCAAAAATCCATCTGTGACTTCCTGAAGACACGCCCCTTGGATTAATGGGGCCCATGGAAGTTGAACAACTAACTGCCCTTTGTTTGGAGATTGAGCCTTTCCCCTCGGGCTGTCCTGTCCCCTGGGAATCTCTGTTCATTTCCTTTCTCCCTCCCACTTACTCCTTAGTGGTACGTTTTAAACTTACAGACAAGAGTAGAAAATAATGAAATAATCCCTTGCCATCAAGCTTTAATAAACGATAATGTTCTGCCATAAACATTATAAAGTAATACTTTGTAGATTTGAAACTTTCTACAAACGGTCTCACACGTGTCGTATTGTTTTCTAACTTTTTAGTGGCTAATTTTCAAATTACATCCAGTTTGTTCCACATGGTGGTTTTCATTTGTCCTGCTATTCCGTTGTGAATATTAGTGTATTATTGGTTCATTCTCCTGTTGATGGCCATTGATTTCATATTTTTACTGTTAACAGTGGCACAGTAAGCTGCTGTATATTTCTTTTGCACATGTGTAAAGTTTTAGGGTTTTACCTGAAAGTGGAAAAGCTGATTTGATTTCCAAAGTGGTATAATTCTTCTTAAAAATAGTAAATGAGCATTTTCCTTTCTTCTTGATCTCACCAACCCTTGATATTTGTCAGACCTTACTTTTCTCAGTCAGAGCTGGTAAGATGGTGTTGTATTTTGACATCTTAATTCGAACGTTCCTGATTAACCGAGTTTGGGCATCTTTTATAACTTTGCTGCAATTCAGGTTTTCCTTTTAGTAAATTTCCTGATCATTTAAATAATGGACATTTCAAATTATATTCCTATTTAGGGTAGTCAAAGAATCCTATTGAAACAAGTCTTGAGTATTGATAATTCTCTTTAATGCATTTATACTCAGAGGATGTTTATATATAATTTATATATACCTATGTCATATATAAGTGTGGGTAAGATACAAGGGTGGGTGCTGGATCTAATAAGCAGCGTACAGATGCAAGGAGTTATGTACTTATTTCTAAAATGGGAAAAATACAGCATGTCCCAAAGGTTTCCCCCAACATCCCTGTGCATTGGGATAAATGTACCTTTACTTACAAAATGTTCTCTATGTGTTGGCCTCCTCTTTGTAAAATTATAAAGGTGCATTTAGCTACAATCTCCCGTTTTCCCTGTGTCTGGCAACTTTGGGGTGGCCTTTGGGAGGGTGTAGACGTTATTTGCTTGAGGAACTCCTCCTGTTCTGTCTCGTCTGTAGCACAGTGAGCTACTTTCTCTATTAGTGTCGAAAATCTCCTGTTTACTTCTATCTCAAGAACTCAGTGAGCTGAGGGAAATGTCTGACACCTCGGTTAACACATCCCTTGGAATCGATTATAAAAATGGGCAAGAGAGAATCATTGCACTGAAAAATTTCCTCAAGCGTTCAGTTGCCTCTTCCTAAATCAGTTTCCCGTTGGTGTGTAAACAGTGGTGGCACTATAAATA